AGTCTGTATTAGGAGGGCTGACTACAGACTTACCTGAAACTATTTTTCCTCAAGGCAGTATTATCACTGTTAATCTGTCATAGCTATAAGCTTTCATATCATTATGTAAATGTTTTTCCAAATATTTGAAGCCTTCATGTCAGTTGACACATCAATTCTGTTTTGTTCTTCATCACTAGAGCATAGAATCATAGAATGGTTTAGGTTGGAAAGGACCTTGAAGATCATCTCGTTCCAACCCCTCTGCCCTGGGCAGGGACACCTCCCCCCAGCCCAGGTTGCCCAAGGCCACCTCCAGCCTGGCCTTGAACACCTCCAGGGAGGGGGCCTCAACAACCTCTCTGGGCAACCTGTTCCAGTGCCTCACCACCCTTAAAGTGAAAAACTTCTTCCTAATGTTTCATCTAAGCCTGCCCTCTTCCAGTTTATAGCCATTCCCCCTCGTCTTATCACTACATGCCCCTGTAAAAAGTCCCTCCCCCGCTCTCCTGTAGCCCCTTTAGGGACTGGAAGGCCACAATAAGATCTCCCCGGAGCCTTCTCTTCTCCAGGCTCAACAGCCCCAACGCTCTCAGCCTCTCCTCACAGGAGAAGGGCTCCAGCCCTCGGATCATCCTCATGGCTCTCCTCTGGACACGCTCCAGCAGGTCCATGTCTTTCTTCTGTTGGGGACTCCAGAGCTGGATGCAGTACTCCAGGTAGGGTCTCATGAGAGTGGAGTAGAGGAGCAGGATCACCTCCCTTAATTGCCACAGTACAGAGTAGTATTTACTACTTTCTTTTCTTAAAGGCTTTACAGTCACAAATCAAAGTGTGCCTGAACGTTGTTAGCTTTAATTCCTAATTTTAGTTCAGAGCTCAGAAGTTTTTCTTTGCACAAGTGGTTTATTTCCCACGTCCATGACTATCTGCTCTCTGCGAACTACACAAATAATCCAATGAGAATGGCCTCCTTGCTCTAAAGTTAGTCTTTGAGGAACTCCTTTCCCTCAGCTGATCCTCGGGATATTCTGCCTTTAGATTTCATATGCTTTTCTATCTGCTTATGGACCTGCCCTACAAAACATAGCTACAATGAAAAATAACACTGTCACTGAACAAGCATGATATTAATGTCAGAATGCTCGAGAGCTTTGTCTAGATCTTCAGAATTCCATTCCATTCCACTCCACATCTGCCCTGTCCCTCCTTGCTGTTCCCAGTGCAATTTTACTATACAAAAATGTCTCCCTCTAATACTCTTACATAAAAGGGCCAGATCCAGAACTCTGCACTGGTGATAGTTACCACATAACACACTCCTCCCTTCCCGAGTTACACAACAGGTAGGTAACTCAAAGGAGAGAAATAATGCCGTACAAAAAACACAGGACTGTATTTTGGTTTTCCGCAGAATTTCAAAACCTTACTTCTTCCACCATACCATGCTACGTAGGTAAGCACAGGAAATTAAGTTACTCTTCAACAGACAGCCGCCTTCTGGAAGGAAACGAAGAGATTCTCACTGCAACAAGGGCTGCAGATGCTAAGGTCTTTCCATGATCAGGGTACAGGTTTAATCGACTTTCTGTTAAAAAGCCCCTACGCACGAGGCACACTTGAAAGAAAATTAGTATTAGTCAGAGAGCAACTAATAGGTTTAAAGTAAAAAGCACCTGTCTAAACACACAGCTCCCAGACTGAACAGCAGATGAGTTGTCTTCCAGCCTTCTGGCACTGTAGACCCATCTCCCGCGGCAAACAAGTTATGTTTGGCTGAAAGGACTTTAGCCACTGCAGCGTCCACCTCTGCAGGCATAAGTCTTAGGATTAACTGGCCCAGAAGACCCAATGTCAAATGATAAGTTTCATTTAGGTGGCCAGCGTTTGAGATTACAACCTGAAACATCAGCGGAAGTATTTGTTCCAGGTTAATCAAAGACATTGTGGAGCCCTGTGGAAAAAGAAAAATCTCAGTAAGACAGGGAAAGAAAACAAGACACTTAGTCAAAGTCATAGCACATACAAAAATCTTCTGTTCTAACACTCTCTCAAATGGGACAAAAGGAAATGAGAAACTACGTTCCTGCTTCGGTTATTGACCTGTTAAGCTGACCTGACACGTAAATCTAAGCTGATGGCTTAAACTTTGCAGATGTTGAACAGTGAAGATAGACTGCTTTACAGATAAATTAAAATTCCTTTCCCTCTACCCCCACGCAGGAACGAGCTCTTACATTTCTTAGTAATGTCAAATGCCTTAAGACATTCTTGCTTAACTGTTATAAAATGCGAATCAGAAGAGCCCATCTCTCCACATTTAATTCGCTATGAATTTTATTCACGATATTTGTGTTACATCTACAAAACTACACAGATCGAAAGTAAAAAGAACTAACTGATTTGAAAGGTGGTAACATAGCTGCCAGCAATCCTAGAATCCTCTTCTGAGAGCATTCAGCAAAAACTTGCTCCTGGCTGGGTATTAAAACCTTCTCTGCTTGCTTCTGGGCTGAATCCTCCAAGAGGTAGTCATCTGCTTTTTAAATTAAAACAAAAGAAGAGAATCCCCCGAATGACCAAAAAGAATTAAAAAATAAGCGATACCTTAATTTTTATAATCACAATCTAAGAATAAAACCCCTTTTTAAAAAATGTTATTAAAATTTGAAAAGCAAGTCTTTATAAAAGCGTATAAAAGATAGCAGATAAAGAGATTTAAATCATATATTGAAAAACATAAAAGGACAGTACTACAGACAGATCCATTTTACTATTGTAATTCTAACAATACTAGTCTTTAATAGAATGTGACACTTAACTTCTGGTTCCAAGTACATAAGAATCCAGAAGTATCGTGTTAGACCAACAGGAACTGTAGTCTCAATACATGGATATACTAATAATACATGGTGGAATTCTACTCCCATTTCTAGAATCCTTTAAACCTACTGCACGGTAACAGTTGTTCAAAGCAGTATGCTTGGCAGGTTTTTCCAAAGCAGATAACTCACTTGCATTAAAGACATTTGCAAATACACAAAAATGGGTTAGGAACAAAAAATACAGCTGTTTGCTTTGCATATGAATGGTTATTTCTGTTACAGGGAAAATGGCAAATTTTACCTGTTGGAGAAACATTGTCATCCACAGACAAGTCTGACTCTTGTCTCAAAACAGCTTTCTTTGCAAAGACAGCTTTGCTTTCACTTCCTTGTTTTCCTACTTTATCTTCTGCAGGAGACTGGATTTCATTGCGAGCATCTCCTTTCCCCTAAAAATAAAACAAAGACACTTACAGATTAAAACAAAATTTAATACCTGCAGAAACAGCCATGGAAAAAAGCCACCAGTCATCTGTATTTGACAAACGTTTTTCCTCAAATATCAAAACCTTTTATTTGTTAAGAACTTCTTGATGTATACATGTCTTAAGGTTCCATACACTGAAAATAATTTTTTCTATTTTGCTCAAACCTCTACGCATAAAATTATTACACTGTATATAAAACTATTATTTTATACAGTGCATAAAAGTGCAGGAAACTCATTCTCCTACCTAAACAGTGCTAACAACTAGAGGAAATGACAACCCTTTCAGAAAGGATGATCTTCCCCCTTCCCTCCAACGCTTTAGTGAATCAGTTGCCTGTAAGAACATAAGGTGATACCTTCGTCTTGGTTCAGCTGGATCTAATAAAAAAACGAACCAGTAACTGTCCCCGTTTCCCCCAACTTTTACCTACAAATGAAATCATTACTACCCACTATTTCAGTTACATATCCAGAATAAGATGTTTAAGCTTCTGAAGAACGCATATCTAACTGATATCGGGGGTTCTGTAAATAACGGGTACTTACATTACAATGCCTAAAAGAGCCTGCGCTTGGTTTCTCATCTCTTCCCTTCACTGCTTTATCACCAGTATGACTTTTTGGAGCACCATCTGTGGGAGGACTGACTGAAACAGTGTCATTCTCTGAGAAGGATTCACCTTCTGGTAACATGCAGAGGAGAGCTAAATTTTTCAGACCTGAAAGCAAGAAAGTTGTAAAAGCTCTTTAGTTGTTGAGTGGCAAGATAGGCAAAAAGCAGCACTGAAACATTTCAAAAGAGAATTGAAAACATCCCCTCGCACACTTCTGAATATCAGCTGCATCAAGATGTTCGCCATCATGTTAACTTAATTATGTAGTTCCATTAAATAACAGTGATAAATAGGTGGTGACATTTTCCACCTCACAAAGAAACCACCAGTGTAGAAGTCTTAATTAAAGGAAGTGTTAGAGATACCTCCCAACAGTGTAAATTATAAAAGGTAAATGAAATTTGTCTTAGCTTTTAATCTATTGACCACTTAAATATCTATACAATAAAACTATATGTTAAAAACAAACAGATTCAATAACATTCATGCACAAGTGGCAGTGGTGGTGGTGGTATTTCAACTGTATTAGAACTGCTTAAAAAAAAATACCAGTAAACTTATTTGAACTTGAGTGTAGAATTTTTGTTACATTCAACATAGGTCTCTATTGTATCACCCTATTTTCCGTAGTAGGTCTTAGTTTACAGAAATACTTATTTCCAGGCAAACCGACATCATCCCCAGAAACTTATCTCATACCACAAATACAGTTAAAAAATTCTTGCCAAGAGATGCAGAACAAAAAACATTTTCCACCAAGTTATTTGCTTTCCTTCGAGTCCTTCAGTTGTCAGTGACACGTTAGTAACAGAACGTGAAGCTATATTGATTGATCCCTTTACAACATCTAAGATGGAAAAAAACCAACCAAAGAGTTGCCAAGTTGTCTTCAATATTTATGTAAGCATAAAATTAATTTTCCCAAGCACCCTATTTCCCATGTTCCAGCGACCCTGAACGACACTTGTGCTACATTTGCTTTCTACATAAACAGTTGTTCTCAGTGAAGTACACAGTAGCTTCCCCTTTCCTTTGGAAACTTCAGAGTGAGTAATCACAGACTTTTCTGACACTTGCTAGAAACCATTGTTTCAGTGAAGGAGGAGCTGACTCACCTTTTCCGTGCTGTGCTTTCATCAAGCAGTCTCCGATGAGCTGTATGCACTGATGTTGCAGAACTCTGGCATGACTGAGGACCTGTGAATCTAGTTTCTCTCCTTCTGCTTCCTCCCCATTTGCCAGATCTGCACTGTAGAGAGTCAAAGCCGCAAACAACAGCCAGGAATAATTGTGGACATATGGCTGGATGAGCCTCTGTCGGTCACTGATTCGAATAGTCACCATCGGATACACTGTGATGCTGTGAGTGGGCAAGTGGCTGAAAGAAGAAGGTATGTAATTTTGAAATGCAGCCACTTTCTGGCTAACCAGTGTAGTTAGGAACACACGACACCTTTATGGGAAACTGTGCAAAACCCAACATATGTCAGAGTTTCAAACTGTAGACCTTCAAGTGCGGTAAACTGTCAGAGCCTCACTGACTTCAGTAGTGTTCCTTTAACAGAACCTGAACTGTCACGAGAGCTCCTGCTCTAGAAATTAATTTTTTTAAGATCTTTGGTGACGAGCACTGAAACCTGTGCTGTCTAACCCCAGCACTGTTCATTTCTTCCATCCCGTCATTCAGGGTTGACAACTCTCCCTCTGCAACTTTCACAGCCATGGTTAGAAAACAATTGCTACTAAGTACATTCAGAGGTTGGGGCAGGTCTCCAAACCGCAAAAATTTTTGCTGAACTGGTCCTGTATTTGTTATGTTTCCCTGAAGGACACCAACTAGATGTTCTGATGTCAGACACAACCTTGTAGGAAGCGTCCTGTGAACGACTGACTGTACTTAGTTGCATATTACTGCTTTTCTGCCAAGTGAAGTGGGGGAACAAAACAACGTGTTTAATACCTGTCAGAGTATTTCTTTGCAGAATAGCATCCATAGCAAAGGTCAAAGTCATCACACACGTTGCAGTTCATTCTCCGACCTATGATAACTCCTTGACAGTGATCACAGGCATACTCCATGTTAACCATTTCATGGTCATCTTCATGTCCTTCAGGTTTAACTCCACCTGTAAAGAAATATTTTAAGATTTCCCTGTAAGTCCGGTTTGATAAAGGATCTTTCTTAATTTCAAGTTCATGTTCAGATTAGGAAAATAAAAGCTTAATACTTCCAAAACATCCAGAAGAAAAGTCTTTCACTTTATTTTATGTATAATTTAGAAGACACTATTTTGCCTTCGAGTAGAGGGTTTTGAGGTTTTTTAAAATGATTCTTACCAAGAAAACAAGTTTTACACAGATCCATGTCATTGCACTGCAGACAGCGGTAGCGGTGCCACGGTGCAATTTCATCACAGCCATCGCAGGATATGTCCACATTTAAAAGGTCACAGTAACGAGCAACAAACATGTGCATCTAGAGCAATAAATGGACACTTTATTTGAGCATTATTTTCTGACTTTGAGCAAGTTCTTTTAGATAGAAAGCAGAACACTTTCCCCACCAAAAAGAAGGACGGGAATCTTTTCATCATTTTAGACTTTTGAAGGCCTACAGGGAGCCAGGGATCCAACTAATGATAAAAATCAGCTTAAGGCAGATTCCTTTCTCTCCTTTATGCTTTTAAAAGTCCGCTAATTACCCCTTCTGCAGATAAATAAGCAAATCATGAGGTCACCTTTCTCTGTTTCTCTGGGTCAGCTTGAGCTATCTTTTCATACCAGGTCTCAAACATTACATCCTGACATTCATCCATCCACTCACAGTTTTGCTTGTAGTCTGCAATTTCATCTTCTTCACTCCACTGACTAAAAGAAAAGCAAGCTCAAAATTAAGTTGGAATGCAATCAGGCTTCTCTCTATTATAACTTGGGATAATTTTTTTTTTTTTTTAAAGAACAAAGTGCTATAACATGGTAATAAAAACAGAATTGTGAGAACTGCAGTTCACGTAGTTAATAAATGGCCACAGAGACACCTGCTTCTTGCCTCTGTGACAAGTTCTTAAATACCTACGGGGAGCATAATGCAAAAATCAGAAAAAGTCACACTTACAAAACTGCTTTTGGTAATGCTGGCTCATCAGATGAGAAATTTAAAAGCTTTTTGGCCTTTATATTTGCTGACATGTAAGAAGTACATCTACTATAAAAATGAAACATGCAGGAGTTAAAACATCCAATTTTTATCAAGACAAGAAACAGCATTATCTACCTCCTGCTATACTGCTAAACAAGTGAAATGTTCCAGCAGTAATCAGGTTAAAGATAAAGTTTTAATAGTTTTTGCACTAGTAATGTTCCAAAACTTTTCAAACAGTTCAGTTAAGCCCTCGGATACTGGCCAAAGTTTTGCCATACTTGTTAGTAGTATTTTTACTGCTTTTTCCAGCACAAAGTTCAGGAGCCTTTCCTGGTAAAAATGGCGTCAATATAGTTAGTACCATGTGAAAGCCGCACTCTTCCCGACTCACCAAATGACACTGTCATGAATACTTATGTTTTCTTGTGATGTAGTCATAAGAAGATGTGGTAACTGAATCTCAACAAAGAAGGAAAGATCATTCGGTTCCCAACTCATATCCAAAAGGTGAAGGAGAGTTGTCTGCACACATGATAAGGCAGGAAGCAACGATCTAAATAAAAAAAGACAACAAAACATGACTGCACTAACCTAAAGCTGGAATTGCGTATTTGGGGACTAAGAGGGGGACAATCACTGTACACCAATTTCCAGGCTTTACTCCGCGTTACATTAACGATGCGGCAGAAACTCAGGTTTACTAATGCATAAACTTACACAATTTCGCAAGAAGCATAGCCAAAGCAATCTGAAATACAGATGGTGTATTTTATGGATTCAGTTGAGACAGAGCTTATGCTATTGCCTGAGCATTAGCAAGAGGGTCTGTCTCTTCTCTGCACTACAACATATTCTTGATATTTGCAGGAACTTGTTCTCTTTGAAACCTTTGCCACGTTCAGTTGAAACTAGACAAAGGACTTGGAAGTTACTGGCAGGGAAACGGATATGATAGTCCCAGAATTCTTATTTCTTTAGGACACCTGGCTATAAACCCCAACAATTCTAACCAGGATGCTACCAAAACATGAGCTTTAACATTAAAGCATGGTTGCAGAATTGTGATATTTATTGTCAAAGTATTCCACAATAAATTTGCTGTTTCTAGTATTTTACAATTAAGCTTCAGAAACACATTGCAGAATTATAACTACAAAATGCCACAATAAGTCAAAGTTTATAAAACTGATGAATTTATTGTGCTTTCCTGCATAGCATTAATAAAAAGGTAACTTGGCATTTTTGATCACAAGATCAAGGTTCTTTATTTAGTTCTGTAAATAATGCAAAGTATAGTCAAACTTAAGACATTAAAAAATAAGTACCATGTGACAAGGGAAGAAGTGAGGAAGAACAGAGGAAAAAAAAAACCAAACAAACCAACTCGTATAAGTAATGCAAGCAATGTACTTTACCTGTCATTAATAGTACTAAATCCCTTCACAGAATTTACCAGGAACAAAACAAGCTGATAGTAGGACTCTCGAATCTCTTTGTGTAGCTCAGCACCACAGCCTTCCAAGTTTCCAAAGTAGCTAGAAATTAAAGACTCAGTTTAGTAGTCTAGAATTCACTGGTACATTTTAGGTAGCGTGTTTTTGTGCCAATTTTACAAACAGATGATCTTTTAAGCACTCCCCACAAGCGGGAAGGATGTTAGTTTTGTTTAAAATGCAGTCTGCCACTTTCAGAGAAAAATAAAAGAATCCTGTACCAGGAATCAGAAGTTAAGAAATAAAACAGGCAAAGAGAATATTCTCATGGCACAAACAAAAGAACATTCCTTCAAATTAAAAAGGTACTTTACAAAAATCTAATCAAGATCTTAAGGGAAATCAAGATGAGCATAAAAAGCTGTTGACAAGTGAGCAGCCAGCCAACACATTTCAGACAGCGCTGCCCAGACACACGATAGAAATCAGACCTAAATTCACGAACCAGAACAGCATAATGTGAGCTCCTGCTTTGAGACAGTGCTTTCGAGTTGTATGCAAAATTTGAAAAAAATTCCAAATTATCTGTCCCTACTTAGAACAACAATTGCACACGCATATAAGCAATATGATCTCTTTGCCCCTTTTATTTGTGTGTGTACGTGCATGCCCTACAACTGGGAGACAGCACTGCAGAACTTTGCTTGCACGTCCATCACTTTAGCCTCTGGCACGAGTGGAATATGTCACCCCACTATAACGTTTGTCTTGTACAGGTATCTCATCCAAAGTTATGAAAATTCATGAACAAGCAAATGCTGGACTAACAAGATACAACACGCACTATTCTTGGAAGTTAGTTCTTCTGCCAGATAGGTATTACCTCGATTTACAAAGTAAGTTCACAAAAATTATAAAGATGTAACGCTACGTAAGTAATTACAAGTTAAATGGGTTAGATCCCTACATCTTTACTGGACAAGAAAGAAATCAATCTAGAATTAGACAAGAACTTAAACTAAAGCAGTAACTGAAGACTCTACAATCTTCTCGAGTTTGTTTTGATCTGGTTGGAACTGTAGAGATGTTTCTAGGTATCCGTGCTGTGATTCAACTGCATGATGCCCACTGGCATGAACAGCTGTACAACTAAGTCCCACTTGAAAATATTTCCACTTGAAAATATATTTTTTTTTTTTTTAATGAAGCATGCAAGATATGCATAGTAGCCTAAAAATTGTTCCTCAGGTCATATTTCTGTTATCCACATGGATAATGGAAACTCTCTTTGTTTTCAATATACGTGACTAGGGGAACACAAAGACATATTAAACCACATGGCTGAGACTTGTCTAAATAACTACTTACTTTGTAAAATCTTTCTGACAGGCTAGAAGTTCTAAGAGAAAAAGTACACACGGCGGATGAAAACAGTGTGGCTGCCCAAGTGAGTCTAGGCACTGGCGGATTGTCTTGAGCACTTCCATAATACTCTGTCCTTGGGATTTTCTCAGAGCAAGAACCTTCAGAACACTAAGAAGAGCAAAAAACATCTATGAGGACTTCAAAACATCGTGCTTAAAATAACGCAAATAAATCACAATTCAAGAAGTACTTGACTAGTTGAACAAGAGTTTGGAATCTAAATTTTCAGTTGTATTTCAGCAGCGGTACATTACAGTTGGAATGAGTAAAAACCAGTATCCAGGACTTCCTGCACCAGTCCAAGTTTTAGAGCCTAAAATAGACAAATTGAGGATTGGAAATCTCTCTTTTGATTTATGTTCTCAGAATCTCAGGTAATTTAATGAGAGATGCAACTATTCTGTATTTGGTATCAAGGATTTCTAGTACTGCTATACCATGTCTTTGCTGTTTGTAGATAAGGGGCAAAATGCCACTGCAAACAGACCTCAGGAAGCAAGACTAGAAATAGCCAAGTAATTGTTTTTCACATTCTGAATTTCTACATCATAGTAGTGAATCAAAGGGAATAATACTCTCTACGAGCTCCTACATGGTTGTAAATAACTGAAGCTTGATACATAAATCTGACAACTATTTATGTACAACACGATTTTCAATAGTATCTTGCAGCTAAAAGATGTTTGATTCCATCTGAAGAGGCCTGAAGACAAGTTTCTGTATTTTATAATCTGCAACATTTTCAACATGCTTACCTTTCATGTGAAAGTGATTGGTCCTTAATAAAGTCTAACGTGTTTTTCAATATAGGATATTTCTCCTTCACAGTAGGCACAGCTCTCGGCTCTTCCATTGATCTGAAGGACAGCAGCCTTAGTCTTCCACGGCTGAACTGAGATTTTCGTGTAGGAGTGGAAGGAGGTGATGATGTATCTTCTTGCTGTGAAACTGTATTCTCACCAGGCTTGCTATGAAATGCAGATGCTTCTTCTGTTTGGAGGGGGTCTGGAACTTGTTTAATCTTCATATCAGACTGTGTTGTTTGGCCCCCCTCTTTTGAAACAGGATGAGTTACTCCACTGGAAGACAATGAATGTGCTGCCTGGAAGTCTGTGTCCACAACAGAACCTTTTCTTTGGCATTTATCACTGACATACTGTTGGATATCATCAATATCTTGGGCTTCCAAACTGTCTGAAGCAGAATCTTTCGTCTTTGCTCGTACAGGCAAAAAATTCAATAACAAAAGGCTCTTCTGCATACAAAGTTTTGCTGCAGAATAAAGATTGGAAGAGTTAGAAGTATGATAACAGAACACCAAACTTGCTACCTTCTGCTTAGGAAGAAAGTAATTTATCTTGTTTCTTCTGAGCCAAGACAGCTAGAAAACACCGTTCTTATTATATCGATCATGATGCTATCAGTTACCTAATTCTAGATTTCCAAATGCTAAATTTGAATAATCACACTGAACCATACGAAGCACACAGTAGTCAATGAACACATTTTATTCTAATAACAATCAGCTGCTGTTCTAACATCAGTTAATTGTGGTAACAAGTATCTACAAAAATAGATGAACCTAAGTTCAGAATCAGGTGACCTAAGTGAGAGGTCACTCTCTGTAGAATTTTCTCACCTACTATTTTCTGCAAAGAATAGCAGAACACGATCCATGACAGTTCATGTAATGCATACCAGTTTCTCTCTTATGGTATTAAAAAGTAACCACAGTTGCTAACCTACCTTTTACAGCAAAAGTAATTGTTAAGATTTACAAGGCAACGCTTTACTAAACTACCTGGAATGCTTATACGTTCGGAAAGGAACCACTTACCAAGAGTTTCTGGGTTCACCTCACTCGCTTCTGTGTTCTGCTTCTCCTCCGTATCATTTCCCCTACCCATCACGGATTTCTGCTTCATTTCCAACTGTAGACAGGATGGTAAAATAGTTAAAATATGACTCCCCCAGTATACCTATACAGCAAGGCAGCATGAAGACTGCATCGCATTAGAGGAATTTAATCTCAGGAAGAGATGACAGTATTTACTATTCCCCACTGCAGAACAAAACACCCAGTAAGAGCAATACCTAAACTATCAGAGCAGGTAACACAGCCTCATACCGAGATGCTCAAGGTTTGCAGGCTGACGGCCTTCCCTGTCTTGTGGCTGGACGGGTATCAGCCCACCAAGAAAAAGAAGGCTTCCCCTCTACCCCCACCATTCAGGAAAAGACACACATCTAGTCATGAGATAAGATTCTCCAAAAGCATCATGTCATCTACCTCGCGAGTACCGTCAGAGGCAGTGACACATGTCATGCAGTGGGTACAAGGCAACTTCTCATCTTAACATCCACCTGCACTCATTGCATCCCCAGTGTATCAAGCTGCCAGGAATTCTTGCAGGCAAGAAAGAGGAGGGAGGAGGTCACAAGGTACTGGAACAGTTAATTTGGCTGGCCCACACCTGAAGGGCTCACAAGAGTAGCAGAAAAGCGGGCCATGGACTGAATTAGCCGTTCTCGAAGGCCACACTGTTGTTAACATTTAGAATCTTCTGCAGACTGGTGAAATCTAAATGAATTTTGGCTCTCTGCAGCTGCAGGTGATGACACAGACACCTCTCACCAGGTTGTGAGCCGATGACACCAGCTCTTGACATAAGGCGTATGTTTCAAGGAAGACTACGTGCAAAAAACCATACTCTGAACCGAAGCCAGTTACTTGCTTGTCAAAGAAGCAATTATTTCCTTTTCTGTTAGCACCGCATTATTGCAAGAATGATGTTTAAGACAGATTTCTTTCTATGCTGTACCTCAAAAGAACTCCAACTGCTATGTAAGAATCTTCCTAATTAACAACACACATTCTTGCTGAAAAATAACACCAATTTAACTGATTTTGAGTCAAACACAGTCCTAAATACTCATGATGATACATCTGGGGCTGAGGGGAGAAGGGGAGTTTAAGAATGCATTTAAATGTTTAAGTTCAAAGTTTAGAAGTGAATATTCGTTCTTCCTAAGTGAAAACAGTTGACCTAGAATCTCTGAAGGAAAACAAGGTTCCGCCCAACGACTTAACATTGCACTGTAAAATATTAAGGTAAATGACATTAATAGATATCCTCCTGAGTGATCTTACCATCCATATTCTAATTGAATCAGCCAGGGAATACACTTGTGCAAACTCATCACTCAAAGGCACCTTGCCTCCACTGTTGACTGGAAATGAGAGAAAGAAGAGTTCTGTTTATTTACAGCTCCATTTTTACACAACTTGATTACTTAACTAAAATTATGCTAGAGTCTTCCCTTCATCTCTTAGTCAATACTTGGAATTATGCCTGTAAGAAAAATAGGGAATAAAACCTGCCAACTCTCATATGCCTTAAGTACGTAAACTGCACCTTGGCAGAGTTATTTGCAAAGTTAAATTATTAATATCTTTCTTGTTTCCTCCCAAAATTGATGCCCGTAGTCATGGAAAATAAAAACCTCTCCCTATACATGCAAATATCCATAATGCAAACTGATATCAGAATAATCAAGAAATGTTTAGTATTAACTTAAGGCTCTATAGATGTATTTAGTTAACTTTTTTTTCCCCCCCTTTTGTTTTTCGCTATGAATTTCTGGAACAGACTTTCAAGATCAATTTACAAAAATTAAAGACCTGACAAAACAGTTTCCATCAAAACTGGCCTGACAACGACTATGGAGAAAGAGACATTCCTATTCAGGGTTTTCCCACTCCCATTCCCCAGGGTTTTTTTTATTTTTTATTTTTTTCCATCTTCTTTTCAGCACCACTTGTACATACTTCACGTTGCACAGGTCAACATGGAGCCTGAAATCAGTCTGCCCTAGCAAGACCCACAGATGAAGCTACAGACATAATAGCAGGATGGATATCTTACCCACTCATTAATATTATCCTGAGCTATCGCTGTTTTCAATTTTACTCGGAAAACTAGATCAACTGTCAAACATTGACAAAATGACTAAAAGGCAATAACCACTTTAGTCATCAAGTCAGTCTTTGTGTCAATCATTTTTACCAATAACTTTATAGCTCAAAATGTACCACATTTAGCTTCAAAATTGTGACAGAAAGTGAAAGCCTAAAATGAAACCCTTCAAAAGCAGTAACACCTTATTATCCAATACTACAAACGTATCAATAAGCTCAAAGGATGCTGTAAGTTAAAAAGTTGTTCATTTTACTTACTGACAATATATGAATTGTAATACAATGGACATTATACAAGTTAAAAGCAAAACATTACCTTTTATTTTAAAAAAATATTAAAAAAAAATAGTATGTATTTTGAGGATGCCAAGGTCAGTTTCCCCAGTTTTGAGAGGTAATTCACACCTCCTCCACTCCCAGCATTTAAAAACACATATAAGATCGTGCTGGCCTTTTAGAAAAGATACGAGAGTGGAAAGTGATATAAGAACCACTAATCACTGGGAACTGCATTGTTGTGAATTAAAACCCCAGGAGACACCACTACTCTCTCTGGGTGTATCCTTATAAGGCTTAATCAGTACCTTATGACGGTTATTAATATTTGGACAGAGCTCTGAAGATAAAAGCATATATTAATAAAAAATAAACCCTCTAGAGATAAGGCTTACCCAGTCTACCTAAATGATGACTTCTTTATACAGAACATCTTTTAAAATCGTCACACTACACTGATTTTTCAAAGTTTATAAACTGAACTGTAAGATAGCCTTTTACAAACTTTAAGTCTTCATTATTAAGATAGTCTAATATTAGAGTTACCATATTTTTGAAGCTTCTCATATAACTCTGGAGTGAGATACACCAAAGCAGCAAATGTTGAGTTCACAGCTTGATCAACAGTAGAACCAGCAACTATATCTGTCTTTGGGGTCTGTTTTTTACATGCCTGTATAAGTCCTTTGAAAAGTTCAGATTTTTGCCCACTGAAGTCCTGGGCAGGATCTGATTTTGCAAAGTCGATAAGAAAGTTACGGCAGTCATCTTGGTGAGAGCTCCTAGCCTGGAGAGAAAGTTAGAAAACATTTGCTTTAACATTATCGGAAAAATTCTTGCAGCTCATTTCTACAATTAAGTCAAATTGCAGTATATCTACTGCAGTTGAGCAACCTGATGTAATGAAAGATGTCCCTGCCCAAGGCTGGAGGGGGGAATCAGATGATCTTTGAACATCCCCCCCGACCATTCTATGACTGTATGAAAAATGAAGCTGATGAAGGGCACACGCCAACAGTTTCTTTCCTCTTTGATATTTGAATTAAACAGCGCAAGTGATGACAACTTCAGCACAATGGCATATGCTTAAGGATGTATCAATTAATTAAGCCTGAACGAAGCTGTGTGATACACAGGGATTTGAAGCCAATGAAACAAAAGCAGTGGTGTAAGTACCTCTTTTTTATCTTGGTGCAGCCTACTGCTCTGACTGGCTCCCGGGAGTGCCTCAGGACACATCTGATGCCTGAAGACAGGTTTCCACAGAGGAGAATTAAGAACCGATGTTACTTTCAAAGGAGGCAAGTCTGCTTCACTACCTAGTTCTGCAAGAAATTCAGAACAGACACTTCACAGTTATGAAATATTTTTGTTCGTTTTTACAGATTAATGAAAACAATAAGCGTTAAACATCCAGTAGGGGCAAAAAAAGGTAATGCAAATAGACTGAACAAGTAATTCAACAGCATTCTCTAACTTTTGTTTCTATAATGGGTTGCAGAGAACTGATGTACCTTTTCTTTAATGATAGCATCAATAGCTTATTTTACAGTGACAATATGTTACATTATGGAAGGACTTTATTTTAACCATTTTTGCTGTACTTATGACCACAGAAATTCACCAGTTTGTAAGAGAGTTTAAAAGCTTTTTCTGCTGCTAAAGACATAATAATTAGCCATATGTAAGCACACTCATTAAGAAAGGAAGAAAATATTCTACAATAAGAACACTTCAATTAGTTCCCTAAATTCACAGGTAAGTACCTGCCTAATTTTCCAAGGTAATTACTGACCACCTGATTGCAGCAAGAACTTTTTAACCTTGTTTAATTTCTCCAAAGTGGTGAATGAATTCAGATTTAGGAAGCTAGACAGAAGTGTTCTGAGTTTTGAAATTAAAGAATAAACAACTCTTTTTTTTTTTTTGGTTGGTTGTTTTCTTTTCTTATGGCACCCATTTCATATTTTGTATTTTACATATCTTAAGTACACTTAGGATTTGGGTCACTGAACTTCTGAAATTAGCCAAACTTGATTTGTAAATTCAAATTTAAATCAATATCAAATGCCCATGTGAAATCTTTAAAATGACTTGTGTTCTAAGCTCTGTATTTTTTCCGGTTTGCTGGCTCCATATTCACACCACCAACGTGGGGTGGATCACAGCACCAGGCAACAATTTTAAAAGAAAAAAACAACAGGAAGAACAGAAGATTGGGCAAACTCTGCTATTACTCCATAAATATAATTCAGCTTAGTACGACTACTTTCAGGTGTCCGTGTCTTCCTAACATTGGCTTCTGAGTATTAGAAACATGACAGTGATCCCTGTGACGTTATCAGCGCAGTCCTGCAGAAGAGCAGCCAGGCTTGCCACAAAGAGCGGGTATAGCTCAGTGACCAAACTTTGTTACGCAGCAAGACAGCAAGTCTCCCAGCTTCAGTCAAGAGAAATACAAAAGGAACTTGATTTTCACAGGGGATTCGAAACATGAAGTCTTCGTATCTCCTCTTTCTATGGCATCACAACTTCTGGAGCTATTCAACGCACTCACCTCGTAGAGATTTCAGCGCCATACTTCGGGAAGCCAAGCGCCCCATCAACCGGGATACAAGAAGCTGTAAATCCAAGCCCCAAGAAACGGCAACATCTGGTAGGCCATAAGCAGTGACGGAAAACTTGTAGCCCCACTCATTATTACTGCTGTCAGAGTGAAAGAGAAACTGCAGCCGTGGGCCAGCCTTAAAGGTCACTTTCTACAGAGCAACAAAACAGTCATTTTGCCAAATGTACATGACAGGAAGACGTTTCAGGGTAATGAATTCCCTTCAGCAACTGTGGTTTTTCAGTATCATGTTCTGTCCACAACAGATCTAATTTCCCCCACCATCTGAATGAGAAACCCACAATACTACGCAGGTAAAATTTCTATCCAGTAGCTTAATGAGAAATTTTATAGACGATTGAGCTTTAGAAGTCGGAGCCATAAAACACTAGAGGAGCACCCCATTTGGGTATGTGTCACTGAAGAAAGAGCGTAGCCGCAGGAAGCACTACGCTTGTCTCGTGATGTAAAGAATTGTGAGGGCACAGTGTCAACGAGTAAGTTTTACCCAAGTAGTTACTGGCAGTTAAACATGATTATTACTTTTCATTTTGACTGACTGCTCCTTTGCTAACAGCAACAAAGAGGGATTCTTTACTCATTCACTCCTTTTATCTGCATCATTGCAGACTTTGCTCCCCACCTCCTGCCCCTCACCTTTCAGAGGGAATAAACACACACGCAAGCACACATCCTTTAAGACAACGGATTTTCCACAAGAATCATAAGAATTTCCTAAGGTTGAATATATCACTTGGTTCAGAATTTTAAAGACGCTCACCTTAGGCCACTTCTCTGTGCCAACCTTTGTATCGTAACGAGTTTTTGCACCTCTGGCATCAGTAAACTCCAGGTAATCATACCTGTGAAAATTGCAATTCATTACTTCCATACTTAATTTTTAAGTTTTGGGGGAAAATGTTTGCTTTTGGATTTTCACAAGTGCTGCATCTCAGAGTACCCTGTTACATCTTTCTGTACCACACCTGCATTGCTCCACCTGATTACTAAGGAATTTATTTCACGTTTCAATGCAATAGTCCCAGCAAACACAGACCTGCTTTCCTGCAGAACTTTCCCAACCCTTCAAATTGGTAATGGGTGCTAATTTTAACATCTGACACATGCCTTAACTAAGCAGTGGCCTGATATGTTACCAGGAGAAACCAAGCAAACGGTTTTGCATAAAGAGGGCAAAATAAATACCACAAGCACAAATTGTGGTGGTCACAGCAACATTACAAAACAGACCAAGGCCAAAGGAAGGAAAAATTCATATGAACAGCATGTCTGTACATTTTCCAGGAGAAGTGGCTTTCAACACACGAAATCATTCAGAATATACACACTGTATATTATGCAGGACAATGTAGAAATTGAAATGGTATGCTTGGAGTGCAAGAACTATCCTTGCCCATTGGAACATGCCCTCTGCAAACAGATACTGGAATCTGACACAGCACAAGACTAAATTACCTCCTTTCAGTTTCACATTTTTCATCAAATTCCACCTCAAAGTAAGTTGCCCCATGACATAGGAAGACTGAGACCTCATGACAATTATTTTCATAGTTATGAGGAGATTCCATTGTCCACGTTCGCAATACTACAGGCTGTTCTTGCTGCCAGCTTTCCATTTCCATCTGTAGGACGAAAATGCATTCTTGAGAAATAAAGCATTAAAAAAAAATTACCACACTAGATTTTTGTGTCTATACGTTTAAAGGTGCCAGATGTACACACAAGGTGGCATTTAGAAGGCTAAAGCATTGATTTACAACTAAACTAGTTATAAAGACACCCTTGATAATCACATTCAAGAAGTATTTCTAAAGCAAAATTCATCTAGTCTACTGGGGTAGGAGACAGTCTCACCCCAGAGGAGCCTACAAGTCTCCAATGATAACAAAAGAGAGTCTGGATGACTAATGCAGATTTAAACATCTACACTACAGCCGTACTGACTATTTGCATTACCACAAGCAATGAAACTTAAAAATAGTATGTGCTTAACATTTTTAGTTTCCTCTTTTTAGTCTCAGAATCCCTCCTCCTATCTGCCTTCTAGGCTTCTCATTCCAGTTGCACTTCCTGGTCATTTTGCTCATCTTCCATACTAGTACAGACATATTTCTAGTTCCTTCACTCACTATTTCATTACATTCCTGTATTTGTAGAAGTTTCCAAGCTCCTTTTAAATGCTTAACAATAGAATCACCTGAGACATCTTTCTTGCTATGTTGCTTTTGTTTCACTGTACTTATTAGTGTCTGTATCTTTAGTTACCTTATGAGGCTCATTACAAAGGCTTTTCAGTGGCTCTATCAAAGTGCTAAATCCCTGTAGCAGAGTACAGTACGGGATGTCTAAAGTGCAAAAGTCCAACAAAAAGATGACCTAGGAGAAAACACAGGTCTGATGAAAAGGCGCATAACCACAGCCATGCTACCCGGGAATAGTACAAAATCCCAATGTTCACTTACCAGCTGACGAGTTGCCATAGCAAAGACAGAGTTACTTATTTTTTCTACTATTGTTTTGCCACTATATTGAGATAAAAGTGACTGCAAAATCGTTCTGATATTTGACAGGAACTGGCCCACATCTAAAGAGAAAAAAAACCCTTAATAGCCACCTTAAGGACTTGCTACCACAACCTGCTTTATCAAACACTTAAGCGCACGGTGATGTGCACAAGAAGACAGACAGCAGGAAAGGCATCTGCTGCCCCAAGGCAGTGACACTCAAGAGAGAAAACAGTTCAGAGAAGTTTTCTGTGATATTTCTATTGTGGAAACAAGTTACGCTTATCAACAATATTAAAAAAAAAAAAAAAAAAAAAAAGCAGTGATGAGTAATTTAATCAAATACACTGAGATTGTTGAAACAATCTCGGAGCATCAAGTAGCCTCCTCTCTGTGTAAACTTATGTGCAGCTTAACTAACAAATAAGTCTAATCATTTGTAGCTATAACCCCACTCCATTTTAAAATGTAAGACAGGAACACAACAAACTTATTTATACACAAATAACATAAATATGAAGTAATTTTACATAAAACCACATCCCCATTAAGTACTTGGCCCAATTAACCACTCAATACTGAGCTGCTGCATTAAAAAAAAAGGCAGCTGTAGCAAATCAGCCCTTAGAAGTGTCCAGCTTCTTAAGTTCCTCTCTACTTGCTATTACAAACATCTAGGAAAATACATACCACCACCCAGAAACTTATCAAAATAAAGGAAATTTAAAAAAAACCCAAAATGTTCAAATGAAAGTCTGTAATTGT